TATTTATATTAGTTTTCATGTTGATGTTGCTGTTGATGTTACTGTTGATGTTGCTGTTGATGTTACTGTTGATGTTATTGCTGATGTTACTGTTGATGTTATTGCTGAGGTTACTGTTGATGTTATTGTTTATGTTATCTATAATGTTATTTTTGGTGTTCATTGGCAATGAAAAAATTATTTTGAAATTTCCTAGCATCGTTGTTGATGCAATTGTGTTGCTGCTTATTTGTTTAATGTCAGAATACTTATTAACATTAAAGATTACGTCATTGTTACCAAGAATGTTAATGTTTTTAATAGTTAATTTTATTGTTAATATAGCGCTGTTCAGCAAGTTTGCGGTTGTGCCATGGCTGGTCTTAGTGTCAACGCTCATTGATAAACGTGTTTGAAATTGTTGTTATTTTTATGTTGATGATTTGTATGGCATTATGAGTTGACGTTATATGTTGATGTTATCTTATGTTTTTATTGGTGGTGATAATGCATTCATCATTATTATCAACATCAAAATTATAAATGTCATTATCATTTTTATCATTCACATCACAATCAATCACGATCAAGGTTATATGGTTATCGTTTGCAATCGTCATCATCAACCTTATCATCATTATCATCGTTGTCCTCAACAAAAACCACTTCAAAAAAACGACAACTATAACATCAACAACAACAACATCAATACCAACACAACAACAACAACACAACAACAACAACTTCAATAACAACACAACATCAGTAAACACAAAGAAACAAACAACTAACCGCCTCTGAATGAATTGGCAGAACGGCGAACCACATTCCCGCCACACACGACCACTTCCGGTTAAGTTGGATTACGTGGCGGGAGAAATGTGAAAACATGGTGATGGTCACAAGGTGGAGGAGTAGGTTTGTTAGCCGGAAGTGAGATGGATTGAAGCCGGATATGACGTAATTAAGTCTGGCGAAAAGTGAGTTTCATCATCATTATCAGCGGAGGTGCCACTAAAATTATATCTTTTAAAATGTTTTCATCTTATGGTTCTATGGTGTGTTTAGTTGATGATGAAAATGATTGTTATGATGAGCATGAACATATTTAAAATAATGACAACGACATAAAGATGATGAGTAGATATGATAGTCTCATTATGATTATGCTAATCGTCATCATCTGTCTCATAATAAGTACACAAATAATAAAAATTTTCTAAGATATAGTTTTTGTGGATGGAGAAAAAAATGAGAATGAAAATTATTTTGTATCTTTGGTGACGTGTTTCCGGTTTGATGGCGCCATGTTCACTTTTATGTTTCAGAATGTATGTGTGTTTATGTGAATGTGAATCTGTGTGAATGCGTGTTTGTGTGGGTGTGTGGATGTGTGGGTGTGTGGATGTGTTAATAANTGTTTGTGTGGNTGTGTGACTGTGTGGATGTG